GTTATGGGAGGAGTTGGAGAGGAGGGAGTGGGCATGAATTTGATCAAAACACCTTATCTGCATGTATGAAATTCTCAATAACTTTTTTTAGTTGGAAAAAAAATTACCTTTAAAAATTGCACAATATATGATTATTCAGAGGATAATCATGAATATGGTGATCACCTTGGACATAGTTCTTAATTACTGCAATGATGGTACAGGCTTCATAATACAACAGAACTCCACTTATGCCTGGACCTGGATGGTCCTGGCTTATGAGTTATGTGGAGACTTGTGACATGGGGAAAGGATTAATGCTGTGGTAACATTACAAGTCATGCCCTCTGAAGGTAATGTGATTCAAACTCTCTGCATCCATATCTTTATAATGAGGTGCCTCCTGGCTACCACAAAGCCTCATTCCATAATCAAGTAAGGTGCAAAATAAATGTCAGATTCAAATCCTTTCTCACCATTTTCAACACATAATGAAGCGTGCTGTAGTAACAGACTTCGTCCTTTAAAAACTTTAGACTTAGTCTCTTTCCTTAGAGCATGTAGACAGGAATATGGTAGCAATAACAAGAGTTGAAGAACTGGTAACAAGTTTCATAAATAAAGATGTCAGTAAGAGCAGCTGAATGGGGAGAGTTCATGAATTAGGGTGAGTTTGCATTTGAAAATCACGATTCAGACATCTCAGTGGAAATGCATGGTAGCTGAGGAACACGAAAAATTATTCATATACTCTGCATTTATTTTCCTCATGCTTATCCTTTGAGGAAATTTGGAAGAAGATATGCTACTCAAAGCTTCTTGTGTAAGCAAAGCCACTTGGGCTTATTCATTAGACAATGTTCCCAGGATAAGAAGACTAGGAAGCACTGCACACTATGCTCAAGAGAGTGAGCTTCGAGAAAAGTTAAGTATCAGAAAAATACGTCTCATATGAGTCAATATATGAAAGTTCAAAAATGTGTCTAGGTCTGTAGCTCAGTGGTATAGTGTTTGTCTAGCATGTGTGAGGCCCTAGTTTCAATCCCCAGTACTATAAGAAAGAAAAAGTGTAAAAGCAGCAGAATTAAACGTGATGTGCCTGAAAGACCCATGTTTGCCTCTTCACAAGTACAAAAAAATAAGGCATGTTGGCTACACACAACAGTGAGTTTGAGGAACAGAAATCAAGGCCCTGAGTTTCATAGGCATTCAGAATATTGAGTTTGTAGCAAGTACACTCTCTCTGGCTTAGGGCCAAGAAATACTTGGAGGCTGGGGAAAATGGCTAAGTTGGTAAAATGCTTTCTGCACAAGCCTGGAGACCTAACTCCAAAGTCCACCAAAAAATAAAATAAATAAAAAAAGGAAAGCCAGGCATGGTAAAAATCTATATACCCCAGTACAAGTAAATCTGGAGGGTCCCTAGAATCTTCTGACCAGCCACTAGAGCATCACTGACAAGTTCTAGGCTCAGGGAGAAACCTTCGCTCAAAAACAAAATGGAGAATAATTGAGGAAGATACCAAACATCAACCTCCGACCCTCCATATGCACATACACACACACACACACACACACACACACACACACGCTTGTACATCTATATACATACCCACATACACATAGAGGATACACATGAATACATATATGTGTTGTATTACAATATATTTGAAAATTTCACTGCCAGGTAGGGTTCTCAGTAATGCAATAGATAATTGACTTCTAGGTTTTGAGCCATCAGAGTCCATAGTTATGAAAGAAAATATCAGGTAGCAGCACACAGGCACTAAAACAGAACTTCTACAATATTGCCTGTTGGCAGGTTACTTGTAAAGTACATGAGCCCTAAAAAAAATGCTTATGTTTAAAATGTGTCTTCTTGACCTGCTAATGCCTAGGAATATAGTTATCCTACATAATTGGGGAAAAATTATTTCTAATAGATTAGGTTCTAGGGCTGTGAAAACTATATAAGATATTGTGGTTCAAAACACAGACCAAATGAAAGATAATGGCACTATAGCTACCATCATTAAACTATGTAATACAGGAATACTTAAAATTAACTCAGTTTAATATAGAATGAAGGTTTGTTGAAAAGTACCTCGACACATTTGGTTGGCATCTCAGCAGGTCTGTCAAAGATGAAAAAGCGGTACCATCCCGGGGTGAGAGAATGGTCACAGATCAGGTCTTGATCAGCTAACTGCTGGAGGTGCATTGAATCAAAGTGAACACTTCTGTAAGGACTCTGAAGAAACTGGTGGCCTCCGGGAGAGCACTCCTGAGCTAGACAAAAAGATAGGCATTTCTACATCATGTGCTATGTTCACTATCATAGCCAGATCTTCAATTAAAATTGATTCCCCAACGAAAAATAAAGTATACTCACTAATACACAAAAAAATCATCTAAAACATCAGAGATTCTTACCAAATGAAAGAGGACTTAACTTTCCAGAAATACAGTATAACGACTCAAGACTCATAAGAGTATAATTTTGAAGTACTTAAGCATTAAGATCTTTACTTACATTTATTTGATTTGAACAGACCAATAGAGTTCAGTGCTCTTGAGTTGGATTTGTTTATTGTGATGGCAAGTCATCAACATCCTCTAGTCCTCTAGGTTAAAATGTCATGATTTGGACTGGAGAGATGGCTGGACAGTTAAGAGCACAGCAAAGCTCTTGCAGAGAACCCAGGTTCAATTCCCAGCACCCACTCACATGGTGGCTAACAACCACCCGTAACTCCAGTTTCAAGGGAATCCAATACCCTCTTCTGACCTCTGTGGGCAGTGCACAGCACAGGTGCCCTTACATACATACAGGCAATACACCCATACACATAAAATAAAAATAGTGAATAAAATATTTTTAAATAAATAAAATAAAATGTCATGACTGGCCTTTTTAAGCAATTTTTTCTCTATGTACCAAAATCCTATCTCTGTCAGATAACAGAACATAACACATTCAACTAATGTTTTAATGTCAATCTAATTTTTGTAATTTGTGAAGTGCTCTCTTAAGTTTCCCACATTTATTGAAAGATTTCAGGAATCATCACAAAGGGTCTTGTTCCTCCATCAATTGAAATTTTTCAGGAAGAATTTCACCCCCATAGTTCTAATAGTTTTGAAATCTGCAATCTGAAAACATCAGATAAATATTTTATAAAATAAGTGTATCATTTCATTTAATTTCAAATCAATTCTAACATCCTTCAACAAAAGAACATTGCACTTGGTTAGAAACTAAAGAAATTATTTTTAAATGGTATTAGTAATGAGATTTACACAAATTATTGAAATATATTTTAAATATTTTATTTATTATTTTTATTTTACATGTATGAGTGTATTGCCTGCATGTATATAGTACCCCTGTGTTGTGCAATACTCAGGAAGGTCAGAAAAAGCTGTCGAATTCCCCTGGAACTGGAGCTATGGATGGTTGTTAGTTACCATGGGGATGCTGAAAATCTGACCCGGCTCCTCTGCAAGAGCAGCCAGTGCTCTTAATCACTGAGTCACAAAACAAAGGTAACAATTGTAGGGGACATTGTGCATGACATCATCAATAATAAAAAACTCTATAACATTTAACTGAAGAATCTATTTACTTAAATTATTTTTATTCCGTATTAATTGGAACACAATTATTAGTTAATATAAATAATACCTTCTATTTAAATTTTATTTCACATTTCTTTTCTTAAAAAGGTATTTGTCTTGCCTTTACTTCCCTGGGCTGCCAAACCTCCCGTGTCCTGATGCCAGCACCTTTCCTGGGTAAGTCCAGTGCGCCCACTGCACCTTCACTCCCCAGCCTCATTCACCCTCCTAGCCCAGGTACTGGCCCATTTCTTGTCTTGGCACCCACCCCAGACGCCAGGGCTAACCTCTCGGCCCAGAGCCACCACTGCTTCCTGATCCTTTGCATCAACCCAGTTCCAACCTATGGTCCCCAGGAGCCCTCTGGACCTGGTCCTGCCCTCACCCCCTTTGCTTCCTTGGGCTGCACAGCCTCCAGTGTCCTGGTGCCAGCACCTTTCCTGGTTAAGTTCAGTGGTGCCCACTGCTCCTTGACTCCCACAGCACCTTTTACCGTCCCAGCTGCCCTGCCACATCTCTCCTCCTAGCCTGGGTACTGGCCCATTTCTTGTCTTGGCACCCCAGACATGGGGCTAACCTCTTGACCCAGAGCCACCAGTACTTCCTGATCCTTTGCATCCAGACCAATCCAGTTCCTCCCAATAGTCCCCAGGAGCCCTCTGAACCTGGTCTTGCCCCACCTACTTCCCAGGGCAGCTCAGTCACCAGTTTCCTGGTGCTAACATCTTCCCTAGGTGGGTAGGGTGGCTGCCCACCTTGACTCCCCCAGCCTCATTCACCTCCCAGCTCCCCTCTTAGCCTGGGTACTGGCCCATTTCTTGTCTTGGAACCGGAGACTCCTGGACTGACGCGCTAGGCCCGGAATCCCAACTGCTTCCTGATCCTTTGCATTCAGACTCCCGGTAGTCCCCAGGAAGGTGCCGCCTGCATGGCCTCTTCCCACCTACACAGCCACTAGCTTCCTGAGACCAGCATCTTTCCTGGGACCTGCTCCCAGGCCAGCCCAGCCCCCAAATTCCTGAGGGCAGCATCTTTCCTGAAGACATCTAGTCCTTACAAGAAAGCGTGAGAGCAGCTGAGCCTCATCTCACTTGGGCCTCTGTGGAAACTCCTGAAGACAAAAGCAATTTGGCCACTCCAATATAAAATCAAAAGAGAGAACCTGAAGCCTAGACCAACCAGCTTTTCACACCAAACAAGTAAATCTCAAAGGCACATAAAGTTTACAAAAAGAATCAGACCTAAACTCAAAAAAGGAAGGCTTGACTCTCACACAAGAATCAGAAACTATGAAAAAAATTCACATGTCAAAGTCACAAAGAAAAAATAATAACATGAAAAACCAAAATAATATATCCTCACCAAATATCAATAGTCCTTTACAGGAGTACAATGAGAGCCCCCTAGAGATAACACAGGACATGGAACTAAAAAGAACAGTTATAAACATGATAAAAGAATTCAGTGAATTTAAAGAACACACAAACAAAATAATCAAAGAACTGAAGGAAGATAGGAATAAACTTCTGAATGAACTCAGAAAAGAGTTAGAAATATTGAAGAATACTTAGGCTGAAATGAAGAAGGAAGTGAAACAGTAAGCCAATTAGAAACGACAGGAGAAAGCCTCACCAATAGGATGAATGAAATGGAAAACAGAATATCAAGACTGGAAGATAAAGTGGAGAAATTAGATCACTCAAGCAAAGATTATGAAAAACTTAAGAAAACAGAAGAATGGAATATGCAAGAATTATGTGACACCATAAAAACACCAAACTTATGAATCATAGGCATACAGGAAGGTGAAGAATCTCAAGCATATGGTATAGACCAGATCTTCAACAGGATTGGAGAAGAAAATTTCCCAAATTTAAAGAAAGACATGCCCAGAAAAGAAACTCTCCACAGCACATCATAGAGAATACACTAAATGTACACAACAAAGAGATAATACTGAAATCTGCAAAAGAAAAACAAAAAGTCACATATAAAGGAAACCCCATTAGGATTACAGCTGACTTTTCAGTGTGAACTATGAAAGCCAGAAGAGCCTGGACCAAAGTATTCACAGTTCTAAATGACCACAGATGCCAACCCAGATTACTTTACTCAGCCAAAATGTCTATTATAGTCAAAGGGGAAAGAAAAGTCTTCCATGACATAAATAGGGTGAAGGAATTCATGTCCACAAAACCAGCCCTCCAGAGAGTTCTGGAATCAATACAAAGAGCTGAAAAAAAGATGACTATACACAAGGGGTTACAGAAAAAATTCAATGAAGGTGTAACTGTGGAAATGCACAGTTAGATCAAGAATGTGAACAGAAATAAAAATGACAGGATTCAATACACATCTTTCATTAATAACTTTAAATATCAAAGGACTGAACTCCCCAGTCAAAAGACACAGACTAAGTGAATGGATTAAGAAACAAACCCATTCTTTTTGTTGCTGCAAGAAACTCACTTGCTTTCAAGGACAGGCATCTAAACGAAAAGCTTAAACTCTGAATGGTGGTACAAGCCTTTAATCCCAGCATATAGAGCATGAAGCAGGGAGATTAAGAGTTCTGGCCAGCCTGGGCTAGATAGTAAGAAATTAAATATAATTAATTAATTAATTAATTAATTATTTAATTAAAATACTACAAAAGAAACAAAGCAAAAGAATAATCACAACATAAAATGGGAAAAATATTTGAAAATTATATATCTGATAAGAGAATTGAATCTAAAATATAGAAAAGGTTCATACAATTTTTAAAAAAGGTTAAGAACTCAGTTTTTTTAATGACAAAGATCCAAGTGGGGATCTCTCCAAAGAATATATACAAATGTCAATATGTACATAAAAATGCTTGAAATCATCTATAATCAGGGAATGCAAATC